AACAATGGTCTTGCGCCCATTAGCCGCCTATATTACAAGTACGTAATATCCGATTATTAAGCGTTTCCGAGAAACTTGTAAATAGGTGAAAAAATACCAAACCTAGCAATGTTTCTAAGGCGAAAAACAGTGGATAGTACCTTCCACGTAGTAGTAAGAAAACATGAAAGTTGCCCGCACAGTGTTTTCATAAGCGCAGGAAAAACAAGAAGTAAAGAAAACAGACTATCGACATGCAAACATGAACTGGTTGTTTCCAGATCATCACTTAACGAGAAAAAAAAAACGATAAAACAGCAGTGTGAGGATAACCAGACTCGAGAAGATTTGAAAAAGTAAGGAAATTTTCCTCACTTGAAAACTGGCAAACGAGTAAAACCAGATCCACCACAGGACAGGGTCCTCAAAACGTTTAAAAATCGACTTTTGTTCACTATGTGAAGCTCTCAAAAACTCAGGCATTTTTGTTGGCGAATCACCGTGAATAGTTCTTACAGAGATTGATGATGAATTAAAATAATAAAACCGAAGTTTGCAAAAAATCTACGAGCTAACACACTGGTTACTCTACCACTTGGTGTCTACACCATATCATATCACATCACAGCACCGAGTCATACCGACAAATATAACCAGTACCATCCAGCAGTGTGCAACCATTAACAATTCCCCGCATAGACTACTATGAGAAAAATGTCCACAGTTCAATTTTGAACAAATCATTGAATGAGCTGTTCTTGTTGCCCAAAACATCGCAAAATTTAAGAAAAAACCGCATTTAAGGATAGAAAACGACTTGAGAACCTGTTCGAACAAAGTCTTCAATAAAACACGAGCTGATGTAAGGGTTAATATGTCCTTCCATCGTGACTCCGCTCTACTATCGAAGTCAATTGAGCCACATCCGCGTTGAAGCTTATTTAATTCGTCACTGCTGGAAGAACAAAGGACGAACAAAGCCTCTACGCTAAAGTAGAAGTGGAATCAATGTGATAATGAAAGAAGGTACGCACCAAAGCAGTTGCTGTTGGTCAATAGTTCTCAAATCCTCGTTTATTCTTTCTAATTGACAATTGTCTTCAGCGGAAAGCACAGCGCCCTCTTCAGTGGAACGACGCTAGAAATGAATACTTATCTGCATAGTTAAATAGGGTGAAGAACGAGCTGGCTACCTTATTAAAAGGCTCAGAGGAAGAAACATAAATCTCTCGACGTCTCAACAAGTCGGTTTTCTTGTGCCCTAGTTCTAGTCTTTGGTCCTTAAGCGACTGACACATCTGTTCTGCTTCATATGAGCTCCCAATAAGCGACAATTCTTCTTCAATGAAACGCTAAATTGCACACAAACAACATAAGTGAAGGATAAAATAAAACTATCATAAAAACCCTTACATAAATCCAGTATAACAGACAAATAACGAGGAACACTACCTTAGCTTGATCGGAAGATATTTCGCTTTGCTTCTCCTTAGCAACCACTGCACTTCGTTCCATCTGTGAAAACAACCGCTTATTGATTCTCTTCGCTTCCTCCAGTTTCTGTTTACAAATCATCATCTGCTGGTTATGCGATATTTTCTCACGAGCAGCTTCAATATCTCTTTTGCGTCCCTGAAATAACGAACTGTATAAACGCCTTGTTTAGAAACAGAAGCTATAAAATCCAGAATAGAAACCGGCCTTTTGTTTTATTCGCATCAGTTCTCTGTCATGCTTCAGTTTCCATTGTCGATACTTCTCCGCTTCCTCTCTCTGCTGTCTCATCATGCGAACTTTCGCCTGCAAACCACAATCTACATGTCACAGGATGATCCACGTAAAAAAAAACCATTGCATAGAAAAACAGTGTTTTAAGACCAGATCTTCACCTGCTTCAAAGCAGTAACCTCTGCTTGCATCTGCTTCTGCATTTCTTCACTATGAAGCTTTTGCTTCTCCAACCTCTTCATATCAATCATTTGCTTCCGCATCTGTGTCAGTTGTTTTTCCATTTCCGAAAGTTTTCTTCTTCGTTCTTCGGCTAATCTAAATGGAAACAACGGCCATAATGTTCTCAAATAATGTAGCCATTACAATGTAATTTACTAACTTATTGTTGGTTGAAATTTTCTTGAGATCTCGTTCCAGTTTCGATTTTTCTGCCAAAAGAGCGTCGATTCGCTGTTGAAGAGTAGCCATTTCTTCCTTAAAGAAGTTGATAGAATTCTTTTGATTAGTGAACAAAATGAAAGAAGAGACATAAAAGAAAATATCTGTGCGTACCTTATGCTTCTTCATCAAGTCGTCCACCTTAGTCTGACTTTCCATCGTCTTCATTAAAATCTCTTCCTTGTCTTTAATCTGCCGCATAACATCACCAAGCTCTCTGTCGAGGTTCGTTTGCTTGTCTACAAATCTGAAGGAGTCAAATTAACCATATGACCCTGTTTTCCTACAATTTTTTTCGTTTTTCGTTTCCTAAATAAAGCAATAACCTATGAATACAAAAGTTACATGGGCCTATTCTTGAAAAGATCCGGGATTTTTCAATGAAAAATTAACAATAGTAGAATTGAAAGCGAAAAAAGGTGGAAATAAGACAGACTAAGTCAGAAATGCAAATCCATCTGAAATTCTCGATGTTCCCAAGGTGAAGATAAGCAGAACAGAATTCAAAATACTGCGACATTTATGCTGGTTACGACCTTAGAAAAACATTTCGCAATTTAGGAAAAAAGTATAAAAACATCATATGTAAAAAATGTATTTTCCCAACTCAATACTAAAGGTGTCGTCCAGAACTTCATCATCAATATCGACATGAGCCGCCTTATATGTCAAAAGATCGTGTTCCTAAACAAAAACTGACAACTTCGTAGATAATCAAAGACAGACAACGTACAGTTAGCAAAGAAAACTCGAGCAAACCTTTTCGTCTAAAATCTCTTGCGTGATAACCTCGCTAATTCGCCGCACAATTTCAGCACTCTCGTCTTCAGTACTATTCCTGCAAAGCGCTATATTAGGTAAGATCCTTTAGAAACGTGAGCAATAAAAACCGCACACTATCAATTTGTCAAAAATTCCTTCCAACAAAAAAGAAAAAGAATTGCCAATGTGTTTTCCAAACAAAGTTCTCTCATCTTCAGTTTACATCCTACGCTACTGTATTAAGACGTTTTCTCCTTAGATTGTTTCTTTTATTGCAAAACAAATCTCCTGATTCTGCAATGTTGACCGGTGCACTACGGCAGTCAACGACATGCATAGCGTCCGCAGACGATAATATTAGGTGAAATGGATTACAGTCAGATACACCTTCACTGTGCGAAACATTAAAATACCTGCAAATGTAAGGCTATCTCAAACAGAGAAGATCACGTCCCGAAATTGAAGACCTCGTCATAACTCATACCGTTGCAAGCACGACTACGTGTGATCGGTGATACAAAGAGGCGCAGTGGTTAGCGATTTCGTTGATCAAACGCTAGTTCGACCGCTGCTTAGAGCTCTACACCAATTCTCGTGGAAACGCCCTCGTTCGGCTATATCCAGGATTGCAAGGAGAATCAACATGACCACCATTCTACGATACTCTTAAAGAAGACGAAGTGTTAAAGCAGCAGTTGAAACAACGAAACGCGAAATGCTAGAAGACTAGTGTGTACGATGAATGCGTTGAAAATGAATCGAGTGCGCGAACTGCTGGGATCCGCACAGTAGATGTGATGATGGGTCACGTAAAAAATTTATATGTACATAATCTACACAAGTGGATAGCAAAAAGTTTTAACGGAAGCAGTAGCGATGGTTGAGGCAAACAGTGGAGGTCACGTGAAATGTAAACGTTGAACTACCATGAATAAGAGGAATAATTCGAACAACAGTCGGAAAATTATTAAACTTTAGTTGCAAAACTGATTTGAAAGCGTCATATTTCTATATATCACGATGGTTTAAATTACGAGAATGAGAGACATGTACTGTCCACTCAGCACGGCAATAAAGTATATGGGAATTGAAACCCACCTAATAATTCCAAGTGTTTGTGTCAGGGCCAACTTGAATCTCTCACGTTGATCTTCGATGATGGTCTGCAAAATAAAAAAGTTGAACGATTGTCATAAATACATATGTTGGAGGTGCGATGACCGTGTACCTTCTGGTAAATCATTTCAGCAGTTTTCTTTTGAGCTAATTTCAATAATTTGTCCTTTTCAGCCAGGCAAGCCTTGATCTGGTCAATCTCAAACGCACTAGAATAGAACCGAATTAATTGAGTTACCGAGTAAATGAAGCAAATCACAAAAACACAGCTGATATCACCACAATGAGGCTGATATGTCTGCAAACTCTGGACGCCAAGTGTCTGCGGCGGGAAAAAAACTGAACACGCTATTACCATTTGCTGATGGGCTGATGCGTTCACCACCACACTATGTACGTCCTTCGTAACGCCTTTCTCTCAGCCATCACTAACGTATAGGTGCTACCAGCAATCACCTATGATGGTGTTGTGGTGAACGCGTTAGCCCCTGGAAAAAACAATAGCGTGTTTAGTTAACACTCTAGACACCTGCCGTCCAGAGTTCTGCAAATACCAGCTCCATTGTGGTTATATTTCACAAAATACGCTGCTGTAGGCAGTTAAAAGAAGTAAGTACCATTGACATCGCCGAAGGAATGTCTTAATATCAGATTGTATTACTAAATACAAAAAAAACCTGAGATTTCACCTTATACCATCATCGGCACGGTAAGGAGCAAATCCCATTCGAGTTTCGGCAAGCTCTTTCTCCAAAACTGCTACCTTAGAATAGATGCAAAATGGTTAAGATGGTAAGCAACACGTAAGACAAAGAAAAACTAAAGAACCTTTTCTTTAAGTTCTTTGATCTTCTGTTGGCCAGAATCCACATTAACGACTGGTTTATTCTTGATTTTCTTCGCTCGGTCGGCATACCTATAGTACACGAACACAAATGCGTTGAAAGTGTGGTGACACTAGGAAAGATTACAAATTATTGAAACAGAAAAACCGCGTCCTCCGTTGGTGTCAACTTAGTGCAAGTTCTTGTAAACGAAGAATTTCTTATGACAAATAAATGGTTTAACTGGCACAAACAATACCTCAGTGTACTTAATGTTTCCTCAGCATTTGTATCGGCCGGAGATACACAAGCGATCATTACCGTGTACGAGTTACCACCCAGTGAATCTTCAAGCGTTCTTCATATAATTCAATCCAATCATATTGCAAGAAACTACAAATCACCTTGTAGAAGTCTAGTTATCTTCGAATCTCTATAAGGTATATGCCGGCTACTTCCTGATTCCGATAACGCAGAAATAACATTTCCTAGGGCGAGAAGACCTGAAAAACTCGACTGAGGAACGATGGTGAACTCGGGAAATTAGCAAGAAATTGGAAATGCAATCACTGACCTTCATTGATTCGAATTCCTTCCATTTTTCTCGTTCCCTCTGCTTGAGTCTTTTTTAAACGTTCAGAACCAGCGAGATCCACAAGATGCAACTTTGCCGTGAAGCTGGTGTCTCTTGAAATAGTCGGAACGAGATCACTCAAATTTAGACTTAGAACGATAGTAGGACTTACTCGTCGTCAATTCCAGTTTTTTCCAGAAATATGGTGAAAACAGCATGAGATCTACTACTCTGAGTGTTCATGGCTGTTTCTCCCTTACTACGGTGGATTCCACCTTTCTCAAGCTGTGCCATAGTCTCATTTAAGTTCCCCACAAAAATTTTGGATAGACCTTGGACCTAAAAGGGATTTAACTAATGGGCTGACGAGGTGCACAGGCACTTAAATAATACTTACAAACACACTGCCGCATTGCTCGCGAACCTGCAACGGCTCCCGACCATCAGAGAGCAAGTCGACAACTTTCTCGTCGTATATCTCAAGCATGGATACGAAAACCTTAATTCAGTGAATATTGTACTAAATAAATGGATGCCAACTCCATTTTTGTTAAAATTTGAGAAATCTCACTATGTTTTGAAAAAGCACGAATGCAGGCTCTAGTTTAAGACCCACACAATTTTACGAACACCTCAAAATAATACACGTACCTTGAATTTCATATCGACATCCAATTCGCTGACTTGGCGGAAGATCGCCTCTACCAGACGTGGGATTATCCCTCTGTTCTCACTCGTCATACTGGTTCTGGTTTCCTCTGTGCCCATAGTGAATGTCTTCCCACTACCAGTTTGCCCATATGCCAAGATCGTGCAGTTAAAACCTTGAAGAATAGTAAGGATCACAAAAAAAAACAACATAAAATAAACGATCAAAGGAAAGAGGCCAACTGTTAAGACCCCTTTCCCTTCGTCTTCGAATGAATTCATTCATCTGAGGCAGAAAAAAAAATAAAAACCTAACCTTAACCCTTTTATTTACTGCCTTTTCCTTCTTAATGGCAGGGTATGTTGCGAAATATAACTCGTATATAATGCTGAGATATTTGCAAAACTCCGGACCGCAGGTGTATGCGGTGGGAAACGAACACGCGCTGTTGTCCTTATCGGGGAGCAGCGCACTTCACCACCACACCATCCGGTTCCTACGTTTTATTGTGATTATAACTAAGCCTCAGTTTAACTGGGTTCAATGCCGATTTGGGCTTCTCAGATCAATCCCGTTGACGGGTGATTGCTGATGGCAAAAAGATCGATAGAACTAGCTGAGAGACAGGCAAAACGAAGGACCCGGATGGTGTGGTGGTGAAGTGCGCTGCTCCCCGGTAAGGACAACAGCGCGTGTTCGTTTCCCACCGC